AAAGATTCAAAAGTAGAGAGAAAGGCAAAAATATTCTGGAAAACACAAAAACGTACATTAAGCTGTCAGTATTTCAGTGTGGATTTGCAAGAGCAGTAATGTGAAACCTGTTTATTACGTTACAATAATGATTATTATCTCGCCTCCAGGATTTTTTGATTTTGTTTTGTATTGTTTCCAAGTCTTCCAAACCATGCAGGTTTCTCACACACTTCAGCAATAACTGAATCAGCAAGATTTAAGAGACCTTCAGACCGAAGGCAGCTACTAAACTGGCCATGCAACCAGAGTTCATCATACCCTCTGGATCACCTCCCAGCCTCAAAGGCCAACGACCTAGTGCAATAGCTAAGGTGAACCTGTCTTGCTAATGGCATACACAGAGAAGAATTGGAAGCTTTGCTGAAAGAGGAATAGATGTTTTCTTGACAAACCATTAATATGATTAAGTCCTGCTACTGTCACATTATATGGGATCAGAGATCTCGATTACTGGGATCTTTTAAAAAGCACCCTTAATCCAGGTAACGCTGATGCACAGCTTCCTTAAAGTCTTTATGTAAGTAGACAAATAACCTAGCAAGAATTTGACAGTTTAGCTGGAAAAAAAGAAGTATCTTCTGTCGAGGATGTCAGCAGAACTACGAAACAAAAAGCAAGCCTGCCATTAGAGCTGTGAAAGCATGAGCTTTTTACATGTTGCCATTTCCATTACGCAGAAGCAGAGCTGGTGGTACAACAATTATTTCGATTATGATTTTGATGAATCTCCCCTTAGCTGCAGTTGTACAAAAGTAACTGGGAAGTGCAGCAGCTCCAACTTCAATACCTCCAGCCATGAGGAAGCTGGAGGCCTCCGATGAGAAAGGGCTTCCTAATGCCATCCTGAGATCAAAATAATTGGTTCCAAACTCAAAACGATTCTTAAACCCCAGTTCTGAGATATGACCACATACAGCACAAAGCAAAAGTTTAAAAACCTAGAAATTACTAACCTGCACTTTGGATTAACCACAATGTAGGACCTCTCAAAACCAGATTAAAACCCCTGCTCTTCTACCCACTCCCCTCCAAGTTGAAAAAATGACACTAATACCAATCTTCCTAAAGACATTTCCTTAATGGTAACAACAACTAATGAGGCAGAGACAAAACACACCACTTGCATTAAGGGAAACAGATTTAAAAAAAAAAAATACAATCCCGGCTCAGTAGTAGTCCTTTCTTCATCCACAACCAATAACAGATGCTTCAGAGGGGTGATGGGAACACCCCCTCCCTGCCACCCCCACTCTCCCGTAAACACTAAAAATACAGTATTTTAGCTTGGGGTGGAGAAGGAAGGTATCTGTTGTTCTTCATCTTGGATAATGTCTGGATCAAGACTTAAAGCATGATCACTTTCATACACATATATAACATCCTCTTGTACACATATACATGCTTTCAGGCACAGGTATCTAGGTATGTGCATGGGTGGGAACACCTGCACACAGACATTGATCCCATACAGTGTAATTTTATTCCCATAAACCTAAAGTATGCTACAATTCCTATGAAGAAATCCATACAAGAAAAGAATATGAGCAGCATTTCACTCACACCACCTGTATGACATATGCAAGAAATGAGCACAAATGTTATTGCTTGCTGTTCCCTTCGAGCACCAAATCCCCATCCCCCAGGCAAACAGAATACCCAAGACTGCATGAGGGCAGGACTATGGCTAATGTGCTGGTCAACAAAATACCACTGGGTTATGAGCCACAAGCCCCAGAAGTTCAGGAAAAGGATAATTAAAAAGGTACCCACATCCTTAGAGCAGCACATTTCTGTACCACCTCTGAACTAATGAGTATCAAAGTGGGTAGGCACTTTCAAAAACATAGGCATCTACTTGTTTCCAACTATCTGCGGTGGTAAGTCTTAACTACTGGAAGGTGGGAAAGGATTTATATATTGTACAAAATGCTGTCATCTGGAAGTGCTCATTCAAAAACAGTCAGCTCCCACACAAGTATCCTGTCTCCAAAGGCAAGACAAAAAACCAGGCACTGACTTTTCTCTGTATACTGTTCTCTGCAAATACAAAAAGAACTTGTCTTAAAAACAATACAAATATTCAAGAAAGCCAAGAGAGCTATCAGAGGGCTTCCTTGGTCTTACATTATTGCTTCTGACCCTATTAAAGGAAAATACTATTTGTGTGTCTGAAAAGGTTTCCCCAAAACAGCCAGAGAGTTTACTTCCAAAGTACCAGTTGTCATACTATTGGTAAACTTACTATTAAGGACTATTGAGATTTTTATCACAGCTTTGTCTTATTATGTTATATGTATTTTATTATGAATATTGTAGTGGAAACAGAAGAAATAGCTATTTTCTGCTGTCAAAGAGTCAACTAAGTTGCTTCCCTTTGCCCTCAAGTTGGAAAAAACTATGGTATTATTTTCCTGGTAAAAATGCTCAAGATACAGTGGGCAAGAGAAAACAAATACTTAGTGAAAATGGTTTAACAAATCCCAGCAGAAACAAAGCATCTTTTCACATACTTAAAAGTCTGCAAGGCTCCATGCTGACATTTGATGAATGGACGGAATAAAATGTTTTGCACCTCCTATGCCTTCTACTGATGGGACAAAATCCTGGTTGGCACAGATGCTAGATCAGCATTACAGTTAAAAACAGCTCCCTTCAAGTGCTATTAGAATTGCATAGTATGAGAATCTAAAATGTTGTGGAGTTCAGTTTATTTGAAGATAAACACACTAGCAAGATTTATAACCAAAACCAAGTAAGCTTTTCACTGTCTCATTTTACTTTTAAGATACCTTGATTACTTGTAAACACAGAAAAGAAGATAGCAGGAGTGAAGGAATAGCTTAAGTCTGGAAAGCAGCAAGGCAATTAATTTTACTGACTAGAGGCTAGCACGATCCCAGCTCATGAGCTGGTTTTATGACAGCAACCAATTACTCAAGAGACTTTATATAAGTTAATGCAAGTGGTAAGCAAGTTCCCTCTACCTTGGGAGCTTTCCTTGATTTTACAAAAGGATAAAAGGAAACAAAAAAAAAATCCACTCTCTTCCACTGCTGCTCCTTCTCACAAAAATACAAAAAACTGTGATGGAATAGTATTGTTCCCCCCCATGCACACCCTGAAAGCCATACAACAGATTATTTCTTGACTGCCTGTATTCAGAAAGTGTCTTTCTAGAATGATGAACAATCCTTAACATCTTTGACTGATGACTGCTGACCCAGGGACACAGCTCCACAAGTACTGGACCAGACACTCAATGTAATTGCGTTCTCCATTTAAAAAAAAAGTACATTAGATTATTTTCATCCCAGCAAGGTATTAGTACCACTTCTTAAGTCATAATGTCAGAAAAGCAAAGCTTAAAATGAAAGTTTAAATAGAAACACTTTCTAAAAACATATTCAAGCAAAACCAAAACCTTATTAACATGAAGCTTTTGTTCCGAGACCTGTGGTTTATGTTGGAGCAGACGTTGACAACCAACACAATATGAATTTTGTTGCAGTTGCAATTAAAAAAATGGGAGCTACTTTTGAAAAAAAAAAAAAAAAAAACAAACAACATCAAGCTAAATGTGAATAGTTTGATCCTTCTTGTATGAAGGAACAGCTCACCTTATTGTTTGTGTTTTAGAAGGCTGACATGTTAATAGCAGCACTACAAGTCTGCTGTGGAGGACAAGTAGTTTGTGGCTCTGCATAACACTCAAGTCAAATTTCTGCTTGATATATGAAAATGTGAATTAGAGCTACTGATGCTGTATGTGCTGTGAAACACACAAAGATCACCATGAAATACTATCGGAGGACTGAGGCTTTGTATGTCAGTCACTTATTTGCTGATCCCAGCCTGTCAGCTGTTACTCTCTACTGTAAAAAGCTGTCCATGAAAATCTACCACAGTCTCCATTATCCCCAGTGTTTTAGCACAAGATAATAAAATATGTATGCCAGAACAGTAACAAAATCACGCCCAACTGCTCTTGTTGAGTACAAACATGAGAGTAACCTCGAAAATCTCTAATTAGCTTATCAATACTTGGCTTTTTTAATTATTATTTTCTAGTACGCAAGGGTGATATGCATTAAATATGCTTAGATTCTTTGTTAAAATTATTAGCTTACTTTTCTTCTTTCTGTATCATAAACAGCGTCTTTGCATTAAAGAAAACTCTAAACTTATTACAAAATACCCTTTTCAGGTCATTTTGACAACAGTTCCACTTCTACAGAGTAACTTTTTACGATAGATTTATTAAGTCCTTAATTGTTCATGGTAACCCCTTATTTTAAATATGGACAAGACTCCTGAGTGATTTTGACAGGCTCATGACTCAGTCTTCTCACCACAGGTTGAAATAATGACACCAAAGGGAAAATTTCGCCACCTGGAACTCAGCTGACACTGAAAGAACAAACCCAGAATTCCTCTACTATTATAAAGGGACCAGTAACATATCAGCTTCCCTTCTGCTTCTGACCATCTCATCCCATTCTCAAGTAAATTCTGGTTTGTTTTAAATGAATGCAGGAAAAAAAAGACCAATACGAAAGCAAAATATATGGAAGAGAAAGAACCCACGATAAAAGAACACACCCCCCCAAACAAATAAATTTCTACCTGGCATTTTGTCAAACAGGAAAAGTCTTACTAGGAAAGCACTAATGAAAGAGACAGTTTCACTGCTATCCAAGTGAACTGAGAATTGTCATATGGTATCCACAGTGCATAGAGTAATGTATGATGTCACTTCTAGGGAGGAAAAAAGCTCTTCTAATGAGGCAATTAAGCTAAATGAATGCAGGAATTAAAAAAGGGTTAAAATGAAGTACAAGTGCTCTTACTGTAGCACAGTTCCTTTCCAAGCATTGTGAGCGCTCAGGAAGCAGCGGCGCTGGCGACAGCGGGGCGCTGGGCTGAGCGGCTTAACCGTGCAGCCAGGCGTTCGTACTCACCTGCCCCAGCATGTCTGGTGCGATGGGAAACGTGGGCCAGATGGCCGAGTAGACACCGAAGAACACGAGCCAGAGCAGCATGCTTCCCCAGACGGCCAGGTGACTGAACTGTCAAGGAGCAGGTAAAAAAGGCGAGTCAACACAGGGCACTTCCTCTGTCCACCTAACCTACAGACACGTCTCTGTTCAGGTCTCTGTCAGTCTCACTCAAGCCTGTCTACCACACTTGGTTTCAGGCCAGTAGCACAGGTTGTTTAAACAGCATAAACCAGTTCTCCTCTTTAATCTTTGCCTCATGGCAGGGCAGACAGATAGTCCTCTCAGCCAATCTGTCTTACTTGGAGCTCCAAAAACTCATCAAATTTTCCTTGGAACTCGGATTTTTCTCATCTAGCTCCTGCTTCCCGTTGTGCACATGCCAGGTTCAACGCATACATCAAGGTAGAAATGTTCAAAGGCTCAGGTTAAAGTTCACACGGACAAATCCCTTACGGCAGACTGTATGCATACAAGCCTTGTGCACCCCTCGCACTCCTTTCACGGAGCAAGATTCAGTGCTGTGTAATACACTACCACAACCAACACCTACTGACCATCTTTGCTTTTTTTTCTGTTTTGTTTTAAAGTTGTCCTAAGCTATTTACAGATATGCAATGCAGTTTACATCTTTACAGATTCTTCAGTCTGTAGACTCACTAAGAGTAAATAAAAGTGGTATTAAAATGACCAAGAACATGTCCAGCACAGACTCTCATAGAATCATAGAATCGTTTAGGTTGGAAAAGACCTTTAAGATCATCCAGTCCAACCATTAACCCACACTACCAGGTCTACTCTAAGCCAATCAAGGGTAGACTAGACTAAACCATGTCCCAGAGTGCCACATCTACCCGTTTTTTGAACGCTTCCAGGGATGGGGACTCCACCACCTCTCTGGGCAGCCTGTTCCAATGCTTGACCGCCCTTTCTGTAAAGAAATTTTTCCTAATTTCCAACCTAAACCTCCCCTGGCGCAGCTTGAGCCCATTTCCTCTCGTCCTATCGCTAACTACTTGGGAGAAGAGACCAACAGCCACCTTGCTACAACCTCCTTTCAGGTAGTTGTAGAGAGCGATAAGGTCTCCCTCCCCTCAGCCTCCTCTTCTCCAGGCTAAACAACCCCAGCTCCCTGAGCTGCTCCTCATAAAGCCTGTGCTCCAGACTTTGTTTCAGTTGCATTAAAGAAAGGCATTTTTCCTACACACCCAAACTATTTTGCCATTCAGGATGATTTAAGCTGTTTTACTTTTACACTGCAGTGGATGGAATCAGCAGTTTCAGTTGTAACAAGCAACTGAGCTCATTATTGGCTCCAGCTTTTTTGGATGCTAACAACTCCTGTGGCTGATGACTTTGGCTCCAATTCAGAGAAGTACCTGCATAAATCTTAATTACTAATTACATATGGGTTTAGGAACATGGGAATGAATTCACACACTGGTTGCTGTGGTGGACACGGTGTGTTTGTTTAGTTGTCAGCTTTATACTTTCTATTTGATGATTGTATTTGTTGACTTTTTGAACAGTATGTCTGAGAACCAAAGAAGTGTGTAACTGAGTATTGTGTTCTGCCCACTGTGAGATAGACACAGTCTTCTGGAAGGACAAGACTGCTCCTCCTCTGGAAGCACTGAGCATCCTCAGAAAGGACAGCTTTCTCCAGGACAGGCACTGAAAACAAACAAGGAGTCTGCAGCACCAGTGGAGACTGGCAGATAGCTGGGAGCAACTGGAGGCTGCCTTACAGTAGAAGCATTCATACAGCAAAATGTCAGAGGAGATGGAAAGAACACTCTTCTAGGCACTCTCAGAAAGCTGGAATTTTGTTCAACCCCAGAAGTTGCTGGGCTAATGAGCAGGACATCGGGTAGGCCCTCTCCTGGGAAGACACAGTGGGCAGGAAGATTTGTTTTCAAATTTTGCTATTTACTGTGTTTACCCAGGAGATCTGACCAGCAATTCCTTTATTTAAAAAAACCCCAAAAAACAAAAACAAAAAAAACCCCAAAAAACCCCACCAAAATAACAAACACAACACAACCCTCTCACCCACATTTTTTGATTCAGTTTTAATATGAATAAAACTAAGAGACTGGAAGTAATTTTTTTTTTTTTTTTTAAAAGACTTGGAGGAAGGGGGGGATTTTATCCTTTCAGTCTACTTGCTTTTCTGAAAACTAGAGACAATTCATGTCAAGATTCTGACTGAAATAAAGCCCTGCCACAGTGAGCAACTGCAGTGCTCAGCTCCCCAAAGAACAAGTACTGCAAGTCTGCTGCAAGAATTCATCTTAAAGAAAAGCCAGCCCCATCCAATGGCAGAACACCACCAGCACTGCTTTCCCAAAAGGCCATGACAGCTTCTCTTGAGCCGCAGCCTTCCTTCCAAACAAGTGGACCAGAAGCTCAGGATAGCTTGGACTGATGCTTCCAAGCTGCAAACTCCTACAGACTTTACAATTAAAAAAAGTAAAGATAAAAGCAAGCAGGGAAACCAATCTAAGACATACTCTTATTTTGTAGGAGGTGTATTTATGCTAGCGAAATGACATCTTCATTTTTTTTTTTTTGTCTCCCTCCTGTTTTACTTTCCAGTCTGCTGGTAAGACCGTTTTCAAGTTTTGCAGCTCTTCATCTCACCCTTTCCAGCTCAGCAAAGACTTTGCTCATTTTATGGTGTCTTTATCTTCTTCTCATGGTTGTCCCAATCATCTCTTCATCTCAGGCGTCTTCCTGCCTGGATTGCTTCTCTACCTTTAGAAGAGCTTCTGCTTTCACAAAGAGCCCTCCTTGCCAATGTTCCTTATAGACTCACCCCACCAACCTTTGCACTGTTGATTCTCCACTGATCTCTGTCATTTACCCCTGAAGAATTCATGTGCAAAGCAGAAGCGAGACCATCAGATGTGTTAAATGAGCAACGGTCAGAGAAAAAGACATCAAGGCTTTCTCACATAAAAAGTAGACCCACTGTACCGTTATCCTGTGCATCCTGTTTATCTGAAATAGTTCATATAGTGTGGTAAAACAGTGAAGAAAGCTGTGTTTGGAAAAAAGCCTACTGCAGTGTTCCAGATAGGTAACACATAACATGAAGCTGCTCCACACAGCTTCGATGCACGGATTTTGTTATGCATCATGTTACCACTTTTACAAGAGCCTTTCTTTCCACACTACCTACTGGATATACCAGGCTCCTAACCACTTTGAGTCTGCATTATTTATTTAAAGCTTTCAGCCAAACCCATTATGTTCTCCCAAGAGGCAGTGTCCCCCTCACTCTCAAGAACAAATTGCCTGTAACCAATCTACTTGATGATGGAGAAGAGGCTTAACTCAATGTTGTACATTTAATACTTTTCAAGTAACCTAAAGATTCTCTGTGTGTTGATTCACTCACAGCTGAAACAATAATTGCAACCAACATCGGATTCCGAGATGATGAGAGTCACTGATCCAAGCAATGGGACAGGTATTAGAAGTGTATATAGAAAAAAGTTGATTCTCAACACAATGACTTTTCCGTGCATAACAATAAATTCTCTATAAAATGCATGTTAAAGTGTTAAAGTTAAACACACTATAAAAAGAGTGTTAAAGAACACCGTTATCTACTAAACATCATGGTATCTTTTAAAATAAAACTTAGAAAAGAGGGGCTCATGATTATCCCCAAGTGACTGAAAAGATACCAATTAGCCAGTGAAGGGGAGAGAGGAGGAAGAATCAAGTAACTCACAACAGGATCTAAACATGCTCGCATGCTTCCAATGCAGACTTGGATATATCCTCTTCTAGTGCATGAGGGATTAATTTAAGTATTTTTGCATTTTAAAATGTTGGTATACAACATAGGACTTATGCATAAGCAACAGCAAAAAAAAGAACAGATTTTATTTTCGGATGAGAGAATGAGGCAGAGAATATTAGCATCTCCCTAATAATTAACATACAGATAGCATTTCATCTTTAAAATTCAGAACAGACATCAGCTCATTAATCTTAACAATTCCTCTGCAAGGAATGAAAGAAAACATTATACAAGTAACAGAAGCAATGAGGTTACGAGATAAGCCAAGCCCCTCCAAGAAACTGGTAAAATAAGAATGAGAGTCCTCAAAACAACTTGGTCTTGAGGGCAGAATGTCTTGGTATGCCATGAAAACTAGATTCCCATAAGGTATCTCATAGGTGTGGAGAAATAGGGACTCCATCAAAATCAAAAGATTAGTGTTTCAGAGAGGCTGGGGGAAAGAAAAGGAGAATGGTCTTGAAGGTTCATCAACACAGGAACCCTCCTACCCCCCATATTCTTTGGAGGTCACTGCCCTACCAGATTCTGACACCTACCAAGTAACAGAGCACTCACTCATTGCAAGTAAATGACTCAAATCTAGGAGTCAGCGTAACTGTTTGACTAACATCCTTTATTACTGTAAGTTTCCAAACAAAAAATCTCATCCAATGTGAATTCACTAGCACTTTTTAATAGCTGCAAAAATATTTTTCAAAGCCCAGTTGTTTATCTGCAGGCAGACACCTTTAATTCCTTATTGCATTAATTTTTGAAGGAGCCACAGAGTACAAAGATGATGTTCTTGATCTATTTCCTTAAGCAACTACAGTAGTACGTTGATTTCATGCAAAATTTTCCCATTTTTAAATATTTAGAGATGTTGGCAATATACTTTTAGCATTCTCTTCCCACTTCTGACAGGCTGCCTTTTTCATCACACATATCGTGCAACCTACGAATTCATTCTCCTCTCATCCTGTACTTACAGAGTTTAGCAGTTTATTCTTACGTGAAATACCCAATTAAAACACTGAAGCCTCAAAAGGTTTTTAGTACTGCTTTTCTATATTAATACTCATTAGGGAGAAAGGTGTGCTAATAAAATAAAAGATACTGAAGAATACTTACTCTAGTCCACGCAGTTGTTTCCAAGCCAGCCTTCAGACAAACAGTGACTACAACATACTGCAAGGATAAAAGAAAAAAGACAAGATAATTTCAGTATTAACACTCTCAAATTCAAAGGTGTTCACAGCCCAATCTCCACTTTACACCTAAAAAGTCACCACCATTTAGGTACCAACCCAAGGCCTTGGCAGTGTGGGATGGGGGAAGGACAGAGCAGAAGATATGGTTGGTGCATGTCTGGGAAGAAACAGAAAGAAAAAAGGGGGGAAATCATGTACACAACATAAGCTTGGTTTTACTGTACTTGTATACTTTCTTCTGGTTTATACCATTTTCTGATGGTATAAAACTGTAAAGAAATTCTACCATTCAAAAATTGCTAGGATACTACACAAACTTACAGTGTAAACTATGTTTCCAACAAATAGATAGTCAATTCCCTGGCCATTTGTGAATACTGCATCTGCAAGAAAGAAAAATTATCACATTTGTTAACCAGTTTATCAATATAATGGACGAAATAATAATGAGTTTTCAGGAGAAAATAACTGGTCCCAACCTTGCCTTTTAGAATGTCTAAAAGCACTTTTAAAAGTTGTGAGATAATGGTAATGCAGAAGTTGTGCTAAGCCAGGCCACAGACACGATGCTCGGGTAGAGCGTATATCCATAGTCCTGGTTGCCAGAAGCCGCCCCAGCAGAAGGGGACGTGTTTGCCAGACCCTAACGTGTAATTTGTCTATAAGAACTGAGGTATGTCAGTGTCCCTTTTTCTCTCGCTGTCTGTTCTGTAGTACTTATTGACACCTCTAACCGGTCCTGTTATTTGCTGTGCCTGTGAAGAAAAAGTCTGTAAAACACCAGCCGATTTGTGGTGAAACAGAGCTGACTTAAGAAAAGCCACAAAAGATTCATCTATAAAGGACACACGTAACACCTAAAGTCTCTTACTGGAGATTAATTCAGTAACTGAGCAGCATTCAGTCTCCACGCACCCTTTCTCTAGTCAAGTGTGCACAAGGGTAAGTACATGTTACTCTATCATTTGAAAGTGCCAACCTTGGCAATACTTCAAGTGTCTGTTTAGTCTTTCTTAGCCTTTGTTGAATAAAACCGGAACACCATGAAAGCACAGTCGACAGCCACGCTAACACCAAATGAACTCGCACTCACAGGAGCTTTCAAGCATTACTCAAGCACGAGAAGTATTGCTACTTTCACAGGTTTTAAGACAATTGCTAGAGAAATACACAAACAGCAGGGATGAAAAAGGCTTAAGATAAAATCTTGGACCTGTTCCTAAACACATACCTCCTAGCACAGTGCTTCTACTATGACAGTACCACTTTGCTAGACTTACTTGCAAAACTGGATCTGACATTCTTAAAACTAGGGTTATCTACTTAATTAACTGTGTTCCTATGATGTAGGTCTCCAGGATCAGTAAATTTTTAAAGCAAATTTTTAAGTCTATAGAGAAGAGGCCCTGACACCCTGACCTCTGTGGTAAACACTCTGCCCAGCTTATGGGTAAAAAGACTATATATTTAGTCAGTGCAGTTACCCCAAGCTACTTGTGATGGTTTTCTTCTACAATGCTGCATATGGTTGTCTCCAAAGAACTGACAGGTTGTGAATATTTTCCAGAAGTTGCTGGTTCTATATCCCTGCTTTGTTTTCTCTTTTCAATGCCAACTAAGAAGCAGCAGCAGATAGACTAGTCACTAACATTGCAACAGGATCTAAAGCCTGAGACAGCTTGGGTTTCTAGCCACTGGCATCCCTATCAGCCCGACTCCTCCCCTGGTACTCTGTGGCTTCAGGCATTTACCACATCATTCACAAATACACATCAACTTTTAACAGTCACTTTGCTCTTTCCTCTAGTGTCAATGAAAAAGGTGAAGAACACTAGAGAATTGAGCCTTCCACATCCAAGGAACTCTGCTGATGCCAGAAGGCTCAGTTTGTTAAGAAAAAGGCATGCCTAAATACATACCGGTTTTGATAGATCTAGTCCAAACTTGACCTAATGACTCTGCCAGTATATTGCTCTCGTGCAACATCACAGTGCACACTTAAGTAATTGAATAATTTTTCGTGTAAGTCTCACTTTTTTTTTAAAGTTATATTTTAATGCAGTAAGTTAATGCCTTTTTTTTTTTTTTTTAGTGATTTCCATGACCTTCCACTTTGGGAGGCTAAGAGGTCCTGAAAGGAATGATATTTCTGTTAATGAGAACAGCAGGACGCTCAGTGAACATTCATTTCTAAAGCTATACAAATGCCCATTCATGGACTATATGCACTTCACATTCTAAGGAACTCTAGAGGTTAAAAAACATCCCAGTGTGAAAGGCACATTTTTGTCTCTGGTGCTGAAATCCCTTTTTCACTTGGAAATACAAAGAAACTTGAAAATTCAATATTCATTCTTCTTCAGAAAGCAAACTAAGCAACCTATTCAAAAGAACTCAGAAAGTTACCATTTGAGTGGGTGAGTATTCCAGTCTTATCATTTTAGTTGTTGAAATTAAAAGTACATTATCTATTTAGGAATTAGTTAGAAAAACATTTATGGAAGACTAAAACAAAAACTGTATTTTTCTTTATCTGCAACCACTACAGACATCAGCCTAAAACTTCTTACATTGGATTTAAAGAAGACCTATTCAAGATTAACATTTCTCATAAAACTAGTCAAACAAAACAACAGAAACCCCCAAATCAAAACAAAACCCAATCATCCATGAAAACCGTTCTCCCCAAAAAACTGAACCAAGCTCCCAGCCCACATATGGAGGAAAGGGAAGTCCCTTTCTTGTACGGTCCATCAGACAGCGTGTGTGAAGCTGCCACTAAAGATACAATATTGACGTTTTGCTCAGCCAGGTAGAGAAACATGAACCTGCCTCCCACAAGTATCTTTACCACCATGCCTCTGATGGAAGCATTCATCTTCCCTCCCTTCCCATTTTCCTTCGCCTCTTCCCCAATTACTCCATCCTGGAGTACAGAAGGTTTTCTTGAAATTAGTTTTTCCAGGGAAGAGTTACAGTTTTGAAAAATTCATGGGTTTAGATAAATACTATTCCCCCCCACGACCCCAATTCGTCATCTGATCCAGTCCTATTTCTTATGACAGTAAAAATGGATTTTCCATGGTTTTTCCTGCCCACACAACTATATTGTACAATCATTTGTACAACAAATTCTCATTTCCCCAGTATCTTTGACTCTTGATCTGGTCTACTTCCATTTCAGCCAATTCATTTTTTCCACAGACTTCAACAGTAGTGAAATCTCTGTATTTTATCCCACATTTTACATTACTGTGTTATGGAATGGGAAAGATCCAACAAGATATAAAGCAAATGGTTGTAATACAGCTGCTATAAGAACATTATGCAGTAAAAAGTTGAGATCTCAACCCACTACCAAAAATATAAGGCATTGTAGAGAACATTATTCAGTATTTGAGTAAGACTTCTTGGCAAAGCAGCAGTTTTAATTTTTCATGTATTAAGTCACTATATGAACAGTGATTACGTTAAATTACAGTAAGTTCTGAAAGCCACTAGATAGCTAGCCAAGTTCAGCAGCTATAGCCTATTGAACTGTCTGTCAGCATTATTTTCTTGGGACTTGTCACGACCTCCCATTCTGCAAACACACTGGGCTTTGTAAGACTGAACATCAGTTACTGACGTAAGAAATAACGAAGCCCTTACCATGCTCCAGCACTTTCAGTGGAAACCAGAAGAGAATGATGGAATGGATCAGGGCATTGATGCAGTGACCCCAGAAAACCTGAGGGAAAACAAACCAAGTCATCAGTAAAGTCCAAAACTCTTGACCTCTCTCTAACTCGTAACAAACACTTCGTTGTGTAGTCAGACAGTGTTTGTCCTGAACTGAAATACCTAAACTTCTGCAGGATCTATTTCCACCTACAATTTCTGCTCTTTTCTAAGAAAACACTGGTCCAGTTGGATGGTTTTATTCTAACCACTTAATATATAATAGGCAAGCATGCTTGCAATTTAAGATCTTTATCAAAATACAGCAGATGGAGTCACCCTCCTTTAATTACCTCAAAGAATGATTTTAAAAGACTGATTCAGTACTATGAGATGTTCTGTTTCTTTGAATGAGCAAATACTTTGTGCCCCACAATTTTTAATTTATAGATAATGCCATTTTGCACAAACCAGAGCTTTACGTACTCTGCAGTTTCCTATCTAAACAAAGCAATCATGCATCTTCCTTGATTCAGAAGTACATTTAGATGTGCCTGTTATGGAATAAAGACAGAATTCCAAATGCTGGCATTTCCCAGCCTTTAAATAGCAAAAGGAAGTAAAATGTGTTCTTCAAAACTCCAAGTCCAAATAAACCAATTCAAACTTTATTTTCCAAAATAAAAAAAGCCCCCTAGTAGAAAGCATGATGACAACTTGTATATTAAATCAAATCCAGGCAATGTTATCCAGTTCCTATAAAAGTGGTAAACTCACCGTTTATCAGTAGTTGTGAATTGAAAAGTCATACTCAGATACAAATCTTACTTTGAATCAAAGTTTACAGATATTTCAGGACCAGTTTCAGTTGAAGCCATACCAGAAAATCCTCATTTAAAAACTAAGGATTTTTTTAATTAAAAAAAAAAAAAAAAAAAATCCCTTAAAAGGAACTGGGAGACAGAACAATCTTAATCTGTGCCTAGTGTAAAGCAGAAGTAACAGTGGGGAAGTTATTTTCTGATGAGAAAGACTTGGAAAATAAGAATACTCGTGGTTGTTATTATTAAAGAAACTGACTTTCCCTTACCCTTGTGTTGAACCCATCTGCATTTTGAGTAATTTTGTAGAGTTGTGGAAATCTAAGCATGCTATCTTGAGTACACGATCGTTCAAAAATTCCCAGAGTAAAGGGTGGCAGCGCTGTGAAAATCTGCAAGGAAAGCAAATACTAATTAAAAGCAGCCATTAGTTTTAAGTGGATCTCAGATAATATTTCAGTATCTAGACAATAGCAAAATTCCCACAGACTTCAGCAAAGACTTATTGCCAATGAGTATGTTATTTGACATAATTTTCAAGTGTCCAAACATGAATTTCAGCAATTCATAAATCTCAAATATTGACTTATGAACAAAAGAAGCATGAAAAAAATTCTTACTATTAACCAATTAGCTTAAACAAAAGGAGTTAAGCATCAGTAGTTTCTGATGCACCAGCTAATCTAGTGAGGTTAAAACACATCAGACTGCAAAGGAAAGACAGCATGTACTTCTTCAAAAAAGCCTTGTGGGAATGGGTTCAAATATGGCTGCAATTTGTAGCTGTAATTAAATATGTAACATGCTTAACCAAAGCTAAGTTTACAGACAAAGCAAATGTGGAAATCACATTAAAAAAACCCACATCTACTGAAAAACAAAGGCTATTCTGTCTTACGGTACTTTGGGGATTCTCCAGGCAGGCATGAACTGATAGGAACAAATTAACTGCAATATGTGTCTGTGCTATGGGCAGACACTTAGATGACCAAGCCTCGGAAGCTTTCCAGGAGAGGCAGCAGGACACTTTGCCAGAAGCAGAGTAAATTAGCCTCTGCTGAGTCCCACATCGCTGCTCTTAAAGTGTTTCCAGGATCTGAGGCAGCTCATTTAAAGCCGGCTTGGGTATCCATGTTTCTTGCAGTCTGCAGTGCAGGCACAGAGTGAAAATAATACCAGTGTGCATGTCTGAATACTAAACTTCATTCACTTCCTTTTATATTAACAGTTTATATCGGAAAAATAATTTCTAATCCTACATATACATACATTTTTAACAGTTTGAGAAATGTTCTTGAAGTTAAGAAGCAGCTTGAAGTTATGAACTGTTTCTAGCGTGCGTACATGTTTGCAAAAGTTGGGCTGTGGTTCCCACCAGCAGTGAGTTGGGAGTCAAGGAACAGACAAAGAGCAACACAAGAGGACTAGAGACTAGTGAGAATCAATAATTACATTCCTAGATCCAACTGGGAATGTGCTGCTTCTGCTCATAAAGTGATAATGGCTGGTTAAAATGGCAGCAGACTGGGGGTGGGGAACCAAAACCAAGACCGCTGGTCTGATATATTCTAAAAAAGGACATGTTCTCATACAACTTTTAAGGTATTTCTCCACATTTCCCATGTTTATTGGGGCATTTACATTCTCACTTGAAGTAAATCTTCCAGTGTTTTTGTTTATGAAGGTAAACCAGTGCAAAAGCAGGAATTACAATGCTAATATGATTTCCTACACAATATTTTAATGAGACTACTAATGAAATAAAAGGTTAATCTTCATAGAAGAGAATGACAGAGCTAAAACCACTTTAAAATCTAACCCCTTCAAACTGTGGAAGTCCCTAATATCCTACCAGCACTTGATTCTTCAGGAGTCTATGCGCCAGTTCTAATTTTAGAAAATACCGACCTTACAAAACAAGGGTTGGTTTCTACTTCACTGACTCTGGAAGATGAGTTTCATCCATGAACTTTATGTAGGGTAGGTAGATCCATCAAATCACATTTAAGGATAATAGATGCAAATATCTGAACATGAATGACAGACTGAGTAACAGTCAGGAAGTTAGGGTGAAAAGAATCAAGGGAGTAGAAAATCCCTGAATAAATATCTTCCATGAAGAATATGAAATCTTACAGAATATGAGGGTTTGTGCCACCATTTTTAAGATTAACGTGACAGAAGTTAAGTGTTTCCATTAATACTACTCAGCGATAAAGATAATTTGCTGGGTTTTTCTGTATTACCATATATTTGGAATGAGTCTGCTTAAAGAAAAAAATTAAATTTCCTCCCTCCAAAGAGAAGTGCAAAGGATTTTTCAGCACTGACAAAGTGTCCTAATGGCTTATAAATCCAGACACCAGACTGCTCATCAGTAATATTACAAATGCAACACTGTTGAAAATACCAGCTCCGGTCTATGGTATGCTATGGAACTTGGTCCCAGAGATCCTCCAGACTTTAATCAATGTTATTGATTAAATAGTATTATTGATTAAAGTGACAAAGCCATGTGGCAGTGTGGCACTCTGCAGAGCATGACAAAAAAAATCAGAAACCACTCCTGAACTGACACATTCTGCTCTTGGTTCAAGTGAAAAATGCTGGTGACACAGCAATGCTAATTCCTGTTCTGTACCTAACATAGCACGAGTCAACCCAAAACATCTGCATGACACTTCTCTGAGCATCTAACTGTTACAGGGTCTGAGGGGGGAAAAAACAAACCCTCAAAGATTAAGACTCTGCATCTATTTGGAACATGAACAGTCAGCAAAATATTCAATACAAAAGACCGAAGAGGCTTTCGAAGAAGAAATTAAATTCCATCTAAAAGCTGTAGAGTTTTATGGAGGTTATATTAGGCCAAACGTGTATTTTCAAGGTGCTATGCCAGATGTATTTGTGTGATAAAAACACCATCCAAAATGAACTTTTTATCTACCTCAGGGTGGATTCAAAATGGCTTTTACAAATGAACTCACCTTTCCTGACATACATCCAAGACAGTTACCTGTGAGAAATGGGACACAACAAAATAATAATCAAGTCCCAAGCACTTACCAAGTCAAAACACGTAGCACTTACCACATTATACAGACCAATGCACCATCGCTCAAATAAGATCTGCCCAGAAAATCCATTAACGAAAGCAAACCAAAGCTGAAACAAAAACAAGTTACAAGAAGCTTTAGATTACTACGGCAGTACATGTTTCCATTTACAGTAGAGGAGAAGGATGTGGAACACGGACCACCATCTGGAGACAGCTGCTTGCCATGCTCGATTATCAGCACTGCCAGGCAGTTATTCTCTTCTGAAGTCTTACATTTTAAATACTGCCAGAGTACTGCTTATGTACAATAAAATACTCAGGTGATGGAGCAACTTGCTGTATTTGCATCATTACTCTAAAAAAATAAATGGCCTCAAACTATTTCAAAATCCTTATTGCTGGCAACTTAACATGCTTGAAGCCAGAAGCCAACCTCATTTCCATCGTGGTCAGAAAAGACCAGAATTGTCAAGGTAAGTGTTTTGATGGATCATAGAATCCTCTGCTTGTCTTCTGTGTCCTATTTTTACAATCCCAGAATTACAGGGATACCAACTTATCAGCTACATAATCATAATTACATTACAATTTTATTGTCTACGTGATGTAAAGATTACTATTTCATAAGCTACCAATTTAATAATTAAACATTGGAAGAGGTTGCCCAAAGAGGCTGTGTAGTCTCGATCCTTTTACAAGTTTACAAAACCCAACTGGGCAAGCCCTGAGCAACCTGGTTTGAATTTAGTGTTCACCCTACTTTAAGCAAGAAGTTGGACTAGACGGCCTCCAAGCTGCCTTCCAACTGAGGGGATTCTGTAATGCCATGATCCCAGGAAACTACTGGAAGCTGCAGTGCATAGGTAAACTCTTTTCAGCATTTCCTTGGACCTAGCTTCCTTGAGCCTACTTCTTATCTTGCTTAAGCAGCTTTTTGAAGCAAGAGCTGCTTTACTGGGTTGGAACAAAGTTTCTTACTCAGTGGGCATTGAAAGCAGCTTCAGAAAGAATATAAGGACGAAGAGAAAGAATTATCTTTCCCAAAATAAATTGGAAACTGGAAGAATAATCAGCAGTTTAAGGGCATCCTGAAACAGTTTGTGTGTGACTCATTGCACTGAATAGGTAACAAAGGATTTCTGTGAATTTGGGGCTATAGTCCCTTTTAAAATCCATACTGCACCATGGCACTTCATGCAAAATTAATTCAACATTGTGTGTGGGAACACTCCCCCCACCCACCCCCTTTCAACGTGTTTTGTCTTGCATTTACTTTACAAGGTCACATTGCATTGGATACACCAGATATTGCAGAGCAGTCAAGTGATGCCCACACCTATTCCCTTCTCACTGCCTGTGAGCCCATGGCACTCACCGCCAGGCATCTTTTCTGACACTATTCTGTCACTCACATATAGCAGCACTCTCCTACTGGCATCATTTAGTCTCTGGCTCACTTGTGCAGTATTAGTGTCCTAGCAAAACACCTCAAATAACAATTAGTCAACTGTATGTCATCTGATCTCTTCTCTGCTCCCACCCAAAATAGAGTAATTAGGAAAGAAGACAAGAGAAGATAACAAGACTGCACCGAGACCTACAACTGTTTTCATAGATGCAGCATCTAAACAGACTAGGACTCTTCAGCATGAGACAGAGGCAACTTAAGGGAAGATTAAAATATTTACAAGATTGACAAGACAGACAAATAGCTGTTCAAATAGGCAATGCTACAAGACATTAGATTAGCAGGCTACACAAAAAAAAAGTTAAGTTTCCACGCAATACATGGTTGGTCTATGGAACTGCCTGCCAGACGATACTGTGGATGCAAAATGGCGTTGGGAAAGAAATCATGGAAGAAAAGCTGGAGACCAGATGAGTCTGCCAGAGAACTATCACTGTTCACAGACGATCAGACACCAGGTTAGTTGAACTCTTATTCTGACCCTCTACAGCTGTTCTTACATCTATTATATCACCATTCTTGTTTAAAATTAATCATGCTGATGCACTCTCACTGTTCAAGCGAGAAGCAATGACACTGATCTCAACTCATGTGCTTATAGATATGCCTTGCACTTGCACAGGAGGCCAGCTATTTAAACTGATTTCCTACAATTTTTAAAACCTTCATCTGCTCTTTCTAGTATGGATTTTCTATCAGTTTTACCCTATATTATTCTGAAGTTTGCACTTTTCTATACATGCTGCCCTCCTTGCAGCTTGTAGTTGAAAAGTGCCCTTGTAAGCTCTCTTAAGGGCCAGCAGTTTCATTCCATTTCCATGTAGTTGAAATGTATCAACCTAGTGTAAACTGCAGAATATTTCTCCAGTTTCCTGAAAAAAATTCCTCTTTCACATTGTCAATCATGCATTAATTTAAATTAAATAAGCATTTAAGTGTTCACCTCTCCAGCTCTGTCCAGAAAAAGGACAGAAGGAAGACACATTCTACAGCCCAAGTTTTTTCATCACTTCTACTGTATTGATACCTTGAATGATGACTGTTCTCTAAGTCTCGCTCTAAGGACTCAATTAATGGCCTGAAATAGCATACTGACCAGTCTCATTCTCACACTTGGAGTATTTCAGTCAGTTGTATACCTCAGCTCTTCAAATGAAAGATATGAAAGGTCTTGGGTACAAAGGCTGAGGTCCCCCAAAGAAACCACAATTAATTTGAGGCTGTCAAACTTGAGGGTTTCTTCTCCTAGCAAGAAACAGAGCTTTAAACAAGCATACTCCCAGATATTTAGCAACAATGACCTAGGCACTTATCATCTCCAGGCTTCTTGCAATTAATTGCAGCTGTGAATGAGGGTAGCAATCCTAGAAAACATAAATAGCTCACAAATCAGAAGCCTGTCTGCCCTGCTGGCAACCTCAGCCTGTGCTCTGCTCAGTTTTCTAGATCCCACTGGGCAAAGCAAATTTCAAAGGTTTGGTAGCAAGCATTGAGGCCTTTTATGACACTGGCTCATGCTACTTAGGAAGCCATTGCTTTCTGAAACCATAGTCTCCCACAACTAGCCCTCCAGCAACAGACATTTCTGATTTTCTATCAAGAAGGTCAAACAAAGCAGCCAAACCTTGCATAGCTGGCCCATGGCTGGAAGAGAAGTCCCAAACCAGGCAAAGCTAACATCTTAGATTCACATTTCCCAACAAAAATATTAGCAGTAATGAAGTGAAGATACAGTCATAAAAGACTTGGAAAAAGCAAAGCTGCAGACATACTACAAAGACATACTACAAAACAGCAGACTGTCAAAGTACAAGTGAAAAATACCCTCTCAACAACCCAGTTCTTTCTGCTCAAGGTTCCTACCCTACCATAATTGGGTGATGCAGAATTCAGTAAAGACCCTGCTAAAACCACCTTGAGATTAGTCCATCACTATAGGGGAATACTGAGATGAATGTGTCTGACTGTGGTAAACAGGTATCTAGATGTCACCATCTTTAGTCTTCTGCAGTGTCTTTCAACATTGAAAGAATTTTCTACAGAAAAGTTTTCTCCTTATTTCAAGGCTGCTATGCTTTAGGTGGGCAAGAACTAACATTCAGAAAGTTCAACGTTCTGCTATTTCAAAAACCAAATTTGAACTATTTTTCTTTTGGCAGGATCCATACAGGTGAAAATTAGAAGTGAGCACATTCCCACACTTACACAAGTCTGCGTGCACCACACGCTCCAAACAGAGGGAAAAAGTTCTTAGAGTTACGACACTGAAAAATAACAGCTATGCTTGTCTTTTCCAGATATTCACATTATCAAATGCCAATCAACAGAAAGAATGTCGTATACTTCCTCAATACCATAATGTCAAGAGTAAATCAGATACTCTGTGTAAAATATACATTTATTTTGAATTTAACTCAAGCCATAAATTGTCATGCATGGTTTAAGGACCAGCTATTTGTAGAGAGAGTATGGTATTCTTTAAGGTCAGCAAAGGGGGGAAAAAAAAAAAAACCCAACCAACCCTCCACCTCAGCGTTCCTGTTAACAAAGTGTACTAAATATATCTGAAGTTGCAACAACCCATGCTTGATTCAGACTTAGTAAGCTGGTAGGAAAACTTGCCAAGTCTGCCTGACTTGCCAAGCTCCAGGGGTTTGCAGGGCTCAGCTCCAGTACTGCTATGAACAAATGGACCCAAAGTTATTAAACCGCTTTTCTGGCTGGAAAAAAGAAACCTTTTCACTTTAACTACTACCTGGCTGCCAAAAAGCTGGAAAAGCTTATTTGTAACTCAGCTACAAAATATATTTTTTTCTTCCAAGGAACAAGATGTCCAATTTAAATGTAAAGAAATTCAGACCTAGGGCTAAAATCTGGGTTGATATATCGCTGCACTTTATTATAGCAGATATTGCAAAGATCTGAAACTAGTAGGTATTGTGCACAAAGGAAGTGGAACATGTTGCAAACTGAAAACCAGCCCATGTTTCCTGCCTTGAAGTGTGGCTGCATTCTTTAAATAAGAAACCCCACTGCTGAAGCACTCGATGCCAGCTGTGATATGGGCAGTTTGCCACCAGAGAAGGGGTGGGGGGGAAGAAAAAAAAAAAAATCTGACTGCTGCCTTCTTCCAGAGGTCAACAAAAGCCAACAGATGGTAATATTTGGTTAATATTGACTTGAGCTGCAGGCAAACTGAGGATCTCGAGGTAAGCAGTCCCACACTGCTGTTTTGAGCCACACAGCCCATCCACCTGCTCTAGAGTATATTTTGAGAAAAGATCAAGTATTATTTTCAAAAAATATTCCCACTTGAGCAAGTTGGAAGGCAATTTTAATTGCATTATTGCTTCATGCATAATTACCGCAACATTAATGCCTGAAATAGCAGGAACTAATTTATTTAAGTGCTCTAAGGCACTGGGATAGCAAATCATCTATTCTAAATGTGTATATTTATGATGTCTTGATAATAGACAGCTTAACGAGTACTAGAAATGTTTTCCCAATTCTGCTAAAGGGCACAGAAAGCTAATGTAGTCAGGGTATCAACAATTGCCACAGGCACCAATTATAGACAGACTAGATGCCTTTACTATTCAGAAATGAGTTAAATTCTCAAAATACCCTCTCTGCACA